AGTTGCGTAAGAGTTGCTCGAGGCGTAGCCGAGAGCGACGCTAGCTTCTTGAAAAATAGTATTATAATCTTTTTATAACATTTTCAATTCTTTTTTTCTCAAAGGGATTTGTTTGCTGACGTCATGAGCGTGCACAATAGGAATATGAAGCACGCTTACGTAATTGAATTTGACGAGAAAAACTGGATCAATATCAGTATCTGGGCAGCTGCCCACCTACTCCTCCCCTAACCCAACATTAACCTTAACTCGTTGTCAATTGACTGTTTGAGTTAGGGGAGGGGTAAGTGGGCAGTTGCCCAGATATTGATATTGATCCGACAAATTTACTAGCTATGTTATAAATCTTGTTGATCTATCAATTTATTGGCTCATACACTGTTAAAAGTTTAAAGCTTTAATTTCTATAAATTAGAATGAAACAATGACGTCTCCCCGCTCTTCAGAAAAAGCAATCAATTATGCATATTTTCATCAAATTTACTTACACATATAAGGTTTAATTTCACAGGAAAAAAGCTTTGACAAGTAAGTGTTGCTAGCGAAGAATTTGAAAAACATTTACGAATTCTTCTTATCTAAAAAAAGAAACAAATGTAGAATCCTATGGATATCTAGGCAACCGCTATCTTTCTTGTGGAAATTTAATTTTCATTTTACTTTTTGAAAAGATAGGCAAAATGGTATTAACTGTTTTCATATCACGGATAAAAAATATAGAGAGGTAAAAGAAAAGGATGATATAAATTGACATCATCACTGAACTGATTTACTTACAAAAAGTGAGATTTATATCAACCTTGATGGTTACCATGGAGACGTGAAGGTATGACCGTTGAGCGTTTCACCCGGGTGATGTCTTTTAGCCGCTTGCGGGTAGTGGTTAACTTCTTTCCGTTAAAGTAAAGAGAAAAAATTTTATGTTTAGTATTTTTTACCACTAACGGCTCAAAAATTGTCTATACTAACCCCTAAAGTCTAAATTTTTTCGCCGTTTTACGGCTAATGGTTAACCCCACTGAGAACCTTATTAATGCGAGATTGTTATCGAACATGAAAACACGTCGGATAAGTACATTTCTTGTCCAAAACGTCTTCGTAAAAAGTCTTCGACGGGCATATCGGAAAAAAATTATTTTTCAAATAATTTTAGAACTTAAGTTTATGTCCGTCCACGTTGGAAAGACTAATGCGTCATTTTCAATTACTATCAAAAAGGTGAGTGTGTTTCGGGACGCATAATGACAGGTCAGTGATACAGGCCGAGCAGGGGCATAAGTTTCCTTTCCACTGATGAAAAGTCACCCATTTGGAACGATCAAAAGAGTTTCACTCTAAAATCGTTAAACTTTAGAGGGCCGGAATTGTTCTACATGTCCTTTTAAAATGAATGGTTGACCTTTATCGTAACTTCAAGGTCGCCCTTTAACATTGGCCTTGCATATGTTGGCGTTAGCCATAAACTGAGATTTTGCAATTTATTTCCGATGGTGTACGAGCCAAAATCAGTAAATCAGCCCAAGTTGTGTGAGAGAGAAAATTGGGGGTGTATTCAGTGATCTGAAAAGTTTTAACTTCCAAAAAAAAAAAACAAAAAAAGGGGAAAGGACTCAAACCGAAGAAAAACGTGAAAAAGTAGGCATCTAAAACTTGCACGCATTGAAGCTCACGAAATCAAATATCAGCTGTACGTGGTGTACTTCTCTGCCCTTTGTAATATCTGGCTCACGCACCGTTAGGTGTTAGGGTTGGACATTCCCTAAATTCTAACCTCAAGTGGTCAAGAAAAACCACAAACAGAACGTGATCTACATTCGTACATTCGTAATTATTTCGGTTGACGCCTTTCTCTTATTTTTATAAACAATGCCAGTACTCCATACACACTCAAATTGACTGTTCACAGTGCTTTGAACAGTCTGCGACAGTACTTCTCTCCTGAGTTGGGTTGAAATGAAGCTTTTAGTTACCATTATTCCCTTGTTCGTAGGTCTATCGACATTTTCACGGTAAGCTTTCGCTTTAATTTATTTATGAAGATAAAATTAGATAGCAACAGTGCGATTAATGCGTCCTCGTTGTTGTAATAATACTTTTTCTGTCGTAAAGAAACACTCTAACGGTTGTAAGCTTATCATCTTGTATAAAAAGTATACAGGTCATGCGTGAGCAATTTAAAATTTAGTGCGCCGCTTGCCCTAACACACAAAGTAGTTGAAAGGCGTGGAGATGCCGAGCTCAATTTCGCAACGGAATGACTGCTTAGTTTTGTTATAACTAGGGGCACTGTATTCTTCCTACTTCCTATGCATTCATATTTTTGTTTATTCAATTATTTGCGCATAAGCCAAGTTCTGAGTCACAGCTGGACTACTATTGATCCTGACCGAGCTAAGAAAACGATGCGCATCTATCTGCATCCTAGTGAGATATCACCGCTAAGGGCGAGAAAGAGAGCTGCATGGAATCAGTTTGTATTCTAATGGAAATTATCAGCACTTTGGAGTATTCACTCTATCAAAAGATAAACTGTAAGGAAATGAATTGAAAACTGCGCTGAACTGCCAGATCAAAAATCGCCTTTTATGGTTTAAGTATGGAGTGTGCTTTTTTTGGCCACTAAAGCCACGCTGTCATGAAGCAATGATCATTATATTTGAATAAGTCACCTTCGCGCTCTAAACTATGGAAAATAACTGACGCGACTCTTATCTGTTGCGTAATTTTTACGCACGATAGGTTTCAGCTCAAAAGACGCTTCGTTCCATATCAATAAACTTGATTTATGTATTGTGTGCATGTATTCCGCGACAACAACAAACACACGAATACTATTTAAGGTCAAAGTGGCTCAAAATGGTTTCATTTTCCTCAGAACCAGGTCTTTGATGGTTCGAATTCGTGGTTACTATTTAAAACTGATCTTTAGAAGTGCAAAAGTTTGCAAATGTGACATTTTGCCCCATCAGTCGGTTGGCAGTCAGTAAAGGGCGTGTTCGCTCATCTGGAAAAATACGAGTTTATCGGACCAAAACTGTAGAACAGTATGTAGCATTGATGTTGTGTCGGCACACTGGATTTTAAGCATAATAATGAAGCAGAAGAATCGAGTATTACACTGGAATAATAACGCAAAATAAATGATTAAACAAACAATAACCTAAAGAAACCATTACATTGATTGTACTTATTTTTATGTTAATTAAAATGGAGCCTAACGGTGATGGTATTTGAATTTTAGAGTGACATTTTCTGAGCACAAAGAATGAGCATAATAATGTAAAACATGGAGCCTAACTGAACGAATCTAATCAACACCCTTCTGTTAATCTGCGCTCGTAGGAAAGCTTTGAGAAAATTAAAAAAAGTAAGAAAGCGTTCCATTTGATTGAAGTAAAGGGAGAGAATTGGAATTCGACCGTCAAGCTCCAAAACAAGAGTACACCACAACGATGATTTTTTTTTTGGCCGAAGATCATTGGTTTTTATTCCAATATCGGAAGCAATACTTAGAAAGTGAACAATACAGTACTAATACAATTTACGTTACAATACTTATAATACTATTAATAAAAAAACGTTGCTTAAATTTTTAATAAGGGAGAGTTTCAAAAACAACAACAAAACACATTAACACCAGTTATGTAAAGTAAATATAATTGTCAACACGCTAGGTTAAAAATTACGATACATGCTGGAAACAAAGTTCTTCGTGCCTACACCGAGAGTGCACCCCACCCCCTCCTAAGCCGATACTGAATTTTTACCAGACCCTAACATCCATTCTAAATGATTTGTGCTATGCTTTTGGTTTAAGGTTTGCCTCGGCTGTCGACTGTGAGGTGTCCCTACCTCAACACGCCTCCCCTAAGTGTGCAGCCATCAGAAATGATACTCTAAACAAACTCAAAGAAACTTATACCATGAAACCAAGTCAATACAGCTTTGTGCTGTTGAACATGACCATTTCTGAGCTGGGAGCTGTCGCCCTAAAGGACCCATTTATCAGTTACTACGTCAGGGCATACGTGGGAATGACCCAGACAAATAACCAGATTTTAGCGAAGTACAATAACGCAACTGCAGGACAAGATATAACTGGATTGTCGGACTATCTCGAGATGTCAGAGTTTTTCCAGACAGTTCTAGAGCCAGTACTTGGGGTAAATATAATTTTCTTCCCTGTTTATGATGTAAGGGTGTTTTGAGACCTGCAAGAGGGCTCCACGATTGGACAGCACAGCCATTGACAAAGCCCTCCTTACTAAAACTTTCCTCAGGAGTTCTTCACCTCAATAAAAATTTCACACGTGCAAAACAAAACAAATCCTGAGGTAAAAGGTTCAAACTTCTTCGCTCCCGTACACGGGACTTTCCCTCTACATAGCGTAGCTTTGTTCGGGTTGTTCCACTGAGCTCCCATGTTGAAGTTAGGGGGACTTCCAAGATGAATCCTGAGCGAGAGGAACAACCTTTTTTACTGTGGTCTTCGTTGCTGAGTTCCAGATGATGTCTCTTTTTCAGTTCTCGTTTCTATTCTTCAGGTATTCTCTAGATTTTCTAGAATTTTCCACCATCCTTCCACCTTGTGAGCTCCACCTCCAGACTTGTTTTCACAATAGCTGGTCTTACCAGTGGCCTTTTCTCGTAGCATTCGACCCACTAAGTCCATTCCTGTAAGGTTGTCATCTGATTCCAGTCAGTAAACAAATTAATTAATTATTTTTTCGCCTCTAGGAATATGTGAGGTCGGCTTCAAGGCACGAAGCATTTATCGACGACAAAACCCAATGGATTAGCGATAAATTTTTCGCTCAGCAGCGTCTAGCAGGGAATAACCCGTTGACAATCAGACGGGTAACCATGAAAGGTCAGTAAGGTAGAACTCATTTTTAATGCACGGCAAGAGATTATCAACCGACTTATAATTTCTTGTATAGGGTCAAGTCTGTACTGAAACTAAATGGCCCACCCAGATAAACGCCATGGCCCAATGAATACTGCGCTGGACTCCGGGTCGAGTCCTGGCTTTGTCAAAGAGTATTGTTCTTGGAAAATATATTTGACGCTCACATTGCCTCTCTCCGCCCAGGAGCGTAAAAGGGCACCGGCGAATTGTCAGTATGACCGAAAAAATTGTGACAAACGTATACCCGGGGCAGCTGACAGTGGGATCATTGTAGTGCATTATGGGCCACCAGATCAGCTGAATGACATATTAACACAAATGAGTACGTAGTGACAGACGGATGGACAGCGACACTGAACTGCCTACTGATAGTCTTAGGCTGCGTAACTGACAAACTGATGTAGTATATATATATATACATATAGTAATACTGACTGTTTGCCCTGCCTCAGTGATAAAGACAATTTTTAATGTATGCAACTTAGGATGTGCAGCAAAGACAATTCAAGGGGCGTGTTGCCGTTTCCCGTTTAAATATCGTGGTAAAGTTTATCGTCAGTGTACGAGGGTAGGAAGCCATAGGCCTTGGTGTTTTACGGCGGCAAAGAAATGGGGAAAGAGACGGAAATGGGGATATTGTGCAGGTAGAATGAAACTTACTCTGATAATTCGTTCAGTAATTGTCTTAAATCATATTTCACTTTGTTGTCTTCCGTTAAATCATGCGTTTATTTTTCTTTTGATTGATTTTTCATCTTTTGATGAAAAATTAAAACTGATCCTACACTTAACATACTTCAACTAAGAATGCATGCTCATGATTTCACAACAGCAACACTTAGCGTTGCACCTAATGATATTTCTACGAGTTGTTACAGAGGTGCCAGAGCATAAGAATGAATATGACTAAATGGTAAAGTTTCATACCCAATATACGACACAAACATAGAAACCCATGTTTAGCGCCAATCTCTTACCCAGATCGTACCGTGTAATTGTAACTGTTTGGCCGTGAAAGGTCTTGGTATGAGACTAGTTCAGCCCTTAAAGCGGACACAATTTTACCATAAAGCCCACAATACCCATTTTGTTGTAGTTCTCGACGTTTCAATTTTTAAGTTAACATGATCACCACACTTCTTTCTCAGAACAAGAACCAGAAATATCAGGACTGGATTTCGGTATATTGAAGAAGACAATGAACCTTGACTTTGACTGGGATGGTGCCGTCAGAGCGGCTTTGGGAACTGGTGGTTCTTTGGAAGATGTATGTTCGCTTAATTTGTTAACTTCAGTGACAAAAGTCTGAGGTGTGAGTGTGCATAAAAATCTCCTCGCGGAAAAATGGTGTCTCTGAGCTTTTAACATCAGGTTTTTCATTTTGATTTGTCTTAGTCTTTAACTATGACAGGAAAGTCTAGGAACGTTTCAACTTATATGGCCTAATCCTTGTTTGTATTGTACTTTAGGCGATAAAGCAGGGTCGCATTTATGCTCTTCGTTACGAGTTGTGCGACGATTTGGGTCGAGCTCCTGACCTCACAGAAAGAGACCCTCAGAGGGAGATGTGGAATTTCCTTTCTCCCATCGCTTTTTTTGCATCAAAGACGGTTAGAGGAAAAAGGAATGAATTTGTACCTGTTGCTATACAAATGGACCACCCACCAGGTTAGCTACAATAGACGTTTTGGCAAATAATGAGACAAATACCATTGCATAAGAGTGACGACTGCACTCAGAAAAGTTACCACCAGTGGAAATTGTGGAGGAATTCCTGATACCTAACTGCACTATGTTCCTGCCTCTGTTACTCGTAATCTCGAGGCATGAGTTCCGTTACTGTAAGCTTAAACCCTTAAGACTCACTTTAACGTTATTTATATCATCTTTGCTAGATTCAGCGGTGTATACTCCAGCCGATGGAGACAACTGGTTACTCGCCAAGCTTAATGTTCAGATCACAGACATCGGATATGCTCAAATCACTGAACATCTTGCCAAGGTAAAATCAGCTGAACAGTTCATTTATTACTAGGAATTAAGACGTAATTCATTTTTCGTGTAACAACAAGAGGAAAAAATATCAACACCCAATTTTCTATCGAATTTATTTGCAATTTAGCCGACAGATTTCTGGTCCCTCTGAAAAAAACTATCCTCTTTTTTACCTTTTGTTTGCTTTTTTTCTTGAGGGCATATTCAAACCCCTTAGCCTTCTATTGGTTATCGGATGCTGCGTACCTACTGCACTGGCCTTTACGTACAGCTCTTCTAAACAAAACAGCTGGTTATCAAAATGCAAAAAGATTATAGCAAAGAAGTAATATCGCATAAGAAAATCAATTCAATCCCTATTTTAAAAAAAAACAAAATAGAACTAAACTGAATCAAAACAAAACAAGGGGAAATGATCTAGCGCCAAGGTGTAGGGTTTAGATTATTATTGGGGAAAGTGATTTACTATCAGTTTCAAACCAGCCCTTTCTGTAATATGAAGTGTCATATCGAGTAGTAGACATCCGTAAATAAGTGAAGAATATCTTCTTACAATCCTATAGATCCATTTCTTTGTGGAGCCCTTTTGTGTCTCTTTAAAACGTACCCTGCCGCCCATGCACCCGTTGAACCAAATGCTGAAGTATCATTGCCGAGAAGTGACCATCCCAAATACATTTGGAACACCTGTTCTTCTAGGCGATACTGGATTCGCAGCTTTGCTGTTTGCATATGGAAAAGAAGGGGCTTTAAAGCTTGTTCGAGATGTACATCCATTGACATCATGGGAAATAACTGACTACAGGGAAAACATCAAGGTATTTTTTATCCCTCACGGTACTTAGCTTGAAATATACCAGAGGGTATCACCCTTGCGCTACATATTTAATACTTCTTTAGATTATCTACGTTTCTGTGGCGTAAAAGCATATTTTTACTTTCCCAACAAAAAAATACTTCGTCTGGAATATCTTAATGTGTCCTTTTCAGGCTTCTCCTGAAAAAGTATCCTAACTGTTTAAGGGTGTAGAATGGTCTTCTAGATACTTTTATGGAAGCGTATAGCCATTCAGATCTGAGGAACGATCCTACATTTTCATGTAAATTTACGAGAATTTGAACAAACAGAAAACTCTACACGACAATTCAAATATGCAGGACTTTCGAGCTAATCGTGCATAGGCAAAATGATGAACACTTGAAAAGTTTAAGGGAGCATTCACCACTTCCCATTTGCATGTTATACAAGAAAGGATACTGAGAGTAATGGTGTTTGTCGAAACATTTTATACTAGACTGTGTTATAGTATCACCAATGTATAGATTCTTCATACTGGTGGCCTCCTAATTTCAACTTGTTGAATTTTTAACTAAATTGTAAATTTATCTATGTTGTTGAGCGCATCTATATAATTCAATTCTAATTTTGGGAATTAACTTCAAGTATTTCAAAATTTCCTTACGGTAATCAATTAAGGTCATTTCAACCAAGCTAGTGTTGCTTTATTTTAACCAGAAACGTGGAATGTTCGACAGGAATCTTCTACCATACTATCCTTTCCGAGATGATGGTTTGGTGATCTTAAAAGTAATCGAAGATCTAGTGAGGAGTTACATTGACTTGTAAGTGAAACCGTAGATATACATTCGACTCGATATCTGTATAATCTGTTTATTCTGACTTGTATGATCTGGTTTGACAAAAATGAAAACAATAACAGTTGAATAAAGGAAACTAAACGAAACGAAACAATGCGAAATGAAATACTACCCACGAAATTTGTAAGTCTGAAGGAAAACTTGATCCATCCAAACGCAAAACTCATGAGCACATGGTCTAGACCATAATACGCATATCTAACCCAGTACCGCGCGGGCAGAGCAAAACTAACTGAGATGCTTTGCAATCAACAGAAATTGTATGCTGCAATGTTCTAAATCCATGCTCTAAGGAGCATTGGGAGAATTTTCTTGTCAATAGGAAAACAAATGAAGGAAAAAAAATGGGTAACCGTTCTGATAATGACGGCATACAATGGTTTCATTTTTTTTTTCTTTTGTGCCGATCGATCAAAGCTTTGTTTGACTTAGACGACACTTAGGAATAAAAGTTAAAAAAACTGGGAAGCACCAAACTGGTAGTACAAAAGCAAGAAGGAACAAAAACTGATGCCTGAGATGGAGGAGATTAAAAAGGATTCCAAATGAAGATTTTGTAAATTGATTGGTTCAACGTTTTTTCGTTGCACACCTCACGACGCAGCACTGTTAAGTTAACAATCTAGACTAATGGCGATCAAAGCAGGGAATGAAAATCAAATTCAAATTTTGTGACTTTTTTCGTTTAGGTATTACAGAAGTGATCAAAACGTGAAGGAAGATGTGGAACTACAGGCGTACCTGAATGAGGTGTCACTGGATGGAACTGGACCGAATGGAGGAATTGGTCAGGTATATTAAAATGTGGGTTATGGAAAACCTCAGGTGTACCAAAACCATTGTTAGTCATACCCATCTGATGATGTATTGATGTCTTTATTGAAAACTTGTGCAGCATGATGCATGTACTCACAAGGTTCCTTGTAGATTGTCACTTGGGGTTGGGTCAGTACAGATCAGTACAGGCAATGAGTTCGAAACAAAACCGAGGTGTAACAACAAACACAGGTTGTACGCTTGCTTGAGAAGAACGACTTAACGTAGCCTTAGGATCCAAACTGGCTGATCACGAGCGACTTACGCTTCTTGAGTAAGCCACGTCACAATGTACACATCACAAAATTGATCAATCAGTTTTAAAAGACAAGAGTTGTAAACCGCCTCAACTTACAAAGAGCTTCCTATTTGATGCTGATGATGACTTTCGCCTTGGGATCAAACCGCTAGCCACAACTATAGATTAACGTCATTAACGTCAAGATCTGAACAAGAGATTTCTACATGAACTGTTAATCCACAAGGTTTCATATAGTTTTTTTAGATCACTGAAGAAATTTTTGGTCGAAGAAATACCATTGAGTGACAAAAAAGTGCTTGTTTGTCTGTCAGTCTTTATCTTTGATGTCTTCAACAAATAAGCCCATCAGAACGATCCATCCTTACTTATGAATCGAAAGTCAGGAATTTATCCCACTTGAGTCTTGTGGCCAATTCAACCCTCCATGGCAAAATTGGCCTATACTATAAGACCACGGGATCACAATTTTTTGTCTGTAATGCTACCTGAAATGTACGCCCTTTGCACATTCTATCATGTTGTAAGTTACCGCTAAGGCTGATGACATTTCGTTCTCTTCCTCGCAGATAAAAGGTTTACCACCAAGTGTTGATTCCAAAAGAGAGCTCTGTGAAATTCTAAGTCGTTTTATTTCCCACTTGACTATCTATCACGCGTCGGTCAATTACGTTACAACGGATTACCCAGAATACATCCCCAACCAACCAACTAAACTTTATAACGACTCCAGAGTGGAAGATGGACAATTCTCCTTTCTGCGACTGCCAAACAGAGCTGCAAGCGCAGTGAGTAAAAGTTTTATTGACTTTAGTTCCTCTGTTTAGTTTATGGTTAGGAGTAAGATTAACATGACTAGGTCTACCATTTTTTAGGAGTAAGATTAACATGACTAGGTCTACCATTTTTTAGGAGTAAGATTAACATGACTAGGTCTACCATTTTTTAGGAGTAAGATTAACATGACTAGGTCTACCATTTTTTAGGAGTAAGATTAACATGACTAGGTCTACCATTTTTTCATGAAAATGAGCTTTAATTGGTCGTATCATTGGAAAGCTCCCACCACTCATCATCTCGCCTTACGTCTTTTATATACGATAAGATGGAATTTACTCTGAATCATGTTATTATTTCACCTCTTCGTCTGCTTATCAAAATTGCGATTCCTCAAGGAATAAACGATGTCAAATCATGATAGTGTCTTGCTTTTGCATCTGGCACAATCACCAAAAAAACTTGATAGAAACTGAAACTAAGAAGACTCTAGACAAGGAAGACACTGTAAAAAAATTGTTTTCATATCGTTACTAAACACTTTGGAGCTGCAAGTACAACAGCATTTCTTCCTTAACAAGGGTAGTAATCAATTATAAAAGAGGGAATTTCTAAGTTGGGTAAAATTTAGCTTTAACTCTTTTAAACATCCTCAATTCATCCCTATTAAGAAATATTTGGACCTGGATAAATTTATCCTTCACGAATATCTCCGTCACTTGTTGAGGAAGAAGTTGTGGTTTATTTCCATTTACACAGCTAAAAAAAACTTCCCTGCCTATGAAAGCTTGGCGGAGAACTCGCTTGTGTAAACACGATTGCAGCTATGCGTTTTGGACCCTGCTCGCTTGGTACTAATTGGTTTCTTTTTGCAGATCCAGTCAACTGCGTTCAATAGTCTGGGAAGTTTCCGTTTCGATTCTTTGTTTGACTACGGCAACGAGCTTGACGACACTAAGGCTGCGAACCTGGTCAATGCATACTACTGTCGACTAATGGACAAGGTTCAGCCTTATTTGCAAGCAAGAAACCGTCTGCGGGAGAAGAATGGCTACCTCGCATATCCGTATTTTATCCCAAAATGGCTGCCCAATGGCATTCAGACTTAATCGATTGTACTTGTAGGAGAGTGTAACTTTTGTTAGATTTGTGTATGTGTACATGGGTTGTTATTGGCGTAGGGTATATAATTATTAAATCTACGTGTTATTTTGGCGTTTCCGGCTTAGAATCATACTTTGCTGAAAGGTACTTAAACTTTGTCAACCATAGTTGGAGGAAAAAATTTGCTTTTACTAGTTTAGTGTGATTTTTGACGGTATGGTTACAAAAATTTTTTCGCCTTAAAACTAACGTGGGAAGGGCTGAAAAAGGTAGAATGAGGTGTGGGGCTACATTGAGGTTGTGTCTGTATTGCATTAGGTAAGTGAGGATATAAAAAAGGTTCAGATAACACACTGATTAAAAATAATTGTTGTTAATGATACCGGGAAACTACTGTTATGCCTTGGAAGGCAGATTAAACATTCCTCAGCTTGATAACAATGACTCTTTGCTTGTGTAATGTTGAAAATTTGTCCTTTGAGAGAAAGCGCACCTTAAAAATTTCTCGTTGGTTTATTTTGCCCTTTTATTCCGAACGGCTGCAACATGTGCGTGACTGGTGCGTGACTGGTGCGTGACTGGTGCGTGACATGGCATCAATCGTTGGCACATCAACTTTGTTTCAGTTCTTCTCAAAAGTCAGATCACATTCCATTTCTTTTATTTTGGGCAATGTCATAGTATTTCTACCGAGTAAGGAATGGGAAAGAGTTGTATAAATGACTCGTTCCAGATAAACTGTCTTCGAACGTTCCTAAATTTAACAAACAATTTGAATCATTGTTTCCACTCTTCAAGAATTTCAACGACTGTCTAGTTGAACATCAGCATCGGTAGGTAAGCCATGATTGGCTATCACGAATGAACTGATTATGACCTGGACGTAATTCCGTTACTTTACATGTTGGTGTCTGAAATGCTTGGAAAAGATTGTTAACACCAGCAGCGGTGATCTGATTATAACCCAGATCAAGTTTGGTGAGTTTACATGTTGGTGTTTGTAATACTTGACATAGACTGACAACACCGGCATCGGTGATCCGATTATGACTTAATTGTAGTGTGGTGAGTTTACACGTTGGTGTCTGCAATGCTTGACATAGACTGACAACACCAGCATCGGTGATCTGATTATGACACAGGTCAAGTGTGGTGACTTTACATGTTGGTGTCTGTAATGCTTGACATAGACTGACAACACCAACATCGGTGATCTGATTCTGACACAGGTCAAGTGTGGTGACTTTACATGTCGGTGTCTGTAATGCGTGACATAGACTGGCAACACCGGCATCGGTGATCTGATTAAGACCGAGATTCAGTGTGGTGACTTTGCATGTTGGTGTCTGTAGTGGTTGACATATACTGGCAACACCGACATCGGTGATCTGATTACGAAACAGATTCAGTGTGGCGACTTTACATGTTGGTGTCTTCAATGCTTGACATAGACTGACAACATCGGCATCGGTGATCAGCGCTTCTACCAGACCCAGTTCATTTAATTTAGATACTAGCAACGATTCCCCAAGTAAATGAACACATTTTTCCTGCAATACACAGTCATACAGGTACAGTTCGGTAACAGGGCTGTGCTTTTTCTCCAACACCTTGTAGATTACTCTTAACCCAGTCTCGGAAAGATGACATTTCCAGAGCGTCAATGTTTTAGCCAGCGCCACAGATGACTGTTGAAGGGGTCCTTGTTTCTCCCCAGTGATTTTATTTGCATTCAATGTCCTAATGACATCTAACAAAAACGCTACAGCAGTGCAATCCGCACCGGCCAACTTTTCAAATTCAATAACTCCATCACGATCACAAAATTGATGGAAACGTTCCTTTACAATTCTTTGGGCGAAATTCTTCTCTTGGTACTCCATGATGCACTGCAGTTTTAGCAGTTTTGGCAGTTTTGGCAGTACTCCAACCCTAATGCTGTACATCCAATCGAGTCTTTCAAGTAACGCTCTCATAAAGAATTCGTCCTTTTGCTTTGATAAAATACCAGACATAAACTGAAATATCATTTCTGACACATTGTCTCTGTGTGAGGGGATCTGTTTTCTCTTCACAAACCAACGAGTTGCCAAATACTCTTGGAGAGTGAAATGTGTGAAACAAAAATATTTCGTCGTTTCAGTGTAAGATTTTCTGAAAGGGGGACCGCAGTGAAGAAGACCGTTCGCTCTTAGGCTTTTAACTTCTTCTAAAGTAAACCTTTTCATATCTTTTAAAGCGAAAATAAACTTCCTCTCCTGAAGCAAATGAGCCGCAAACTCTGACATTTTGTCCAGAGTATCTTCGGAAGAGATTGCGGACTCCTTATCATGTTTTCCTAGAAACATGTTCACAACCTCAAAATAGATTTCACTTGTGTTGACCGGGAGGACGTCAGTGTTTACTGGTTCATTTAGGAGGTATTCAAAATAAGAGCACATCAAAAAACAGACAACTGGAATGTGGGCGAAGCTGACAAGATTGTCATTCTTTGTAATGTGATCCATTACAGCATTCTTCATGACTTCCTTTTCGTTGAAATACTTCTCTACGTATTTCTTCACCTGTTCTTCGGTAAATCCTGTAATTTCAACGTACCGATCAAAGCCAATTCTACTTGTCATTTCATCAGATTCATCGGGCCTTGAAGTTATCATGACAACGGAATCTCTCAAGAGTTTTCCTTTGATCAGCTTGGCACACAGGGCTGCTACTGGCATTTCCTCATGAGCGCTATTCGGGTAACGGTCATCCCAATCACTCTCGATGAAATTTCTCTTCGAATACTCATCATAACCGTCAATGAGGATCAAAACTTCTTCTGAATGATCAAGAATGTACTCAAATACAGAGTCTTCGATATTTGAGTGTTCATCCAGGACTGAAGATCTGTTTAAGATATCCCTCAAAGTAACACGGTCATCTCCAAGTGAATTCAACTGGCGGAAAGTCAGCAAATATGCGAACTTCAAATCCGGCAGCTGCAAGTTTGCTTGTGTTTCAAACAACATGTTGTTGGCCCAATCTCGAATAAACTTTTGGAAAAACAGCGTTTTACCAATCCCTGCCTTCCCAGTAACTAAGACAGACCTTGGTATTTTTACCACGTTACGATCGGTATCACAAATGAAAATTTCTTGATTATGTTTGACGGGCTCTCCACTCACTCGACCGTACTGGCGTAAGCGTTCTTTCCTTTTCATATCTAGGTCTTCAATTGGCTTTCTTCCGTGTTGTATGAGAAGACTTGTGTATATGTCATCTGTTCTGGCCTTCTTCATGGTGGGGGAAGGTAAGGTATGAAACTCAGTTCGGCTTTTTACTGATGCTTTCAGTGCGTTTGTGTATGCCGTTACAGCTGAAAATAAGACCAGATCAGAAGCATTCAATTCTTTCGTCAGGTTTAATTTTTGACCGAATGTAATTTCAAGTTAGTTTTTTACTCAAGTGTGAAAGTTCTGCAAAATCTTACGCTGGCCTGGGGGAGTTAATATTTATTATTTTTTGTCGATGGTTTTTTTTTTTTTTTCTTGAATAGCGTATTTTTCCGTCTGATCTCTCAACTTTTTTTTACGCAAAGTGATGCGGAAAGAATTGCAAAGGTTAAACTTTGAAAAAGTAACTTAATGTATATCCACTTATTTCGAAAGAAGCGTAATGTATAGTTCATCATTCTTATTGTTGCATGGCTATCTCGAAATTAATTACAGATTATCTCGTTGAAAGTTAATATCAATCCCAAAAGTTTTCCCTGAGATAAGCAAAATAAAAACTCTAAAAATACTTTTCGGCAACTATTTGGCTTACATGTCCTATTTTACTTTCCAAGGACTGAATATTCA